ATATGATTATGCTAGACTTCTAAATATTACTAAATAGCATACTTAGTTTTCTTTGACTTTATTTCCCCAACAGCCCGTGTCACTGGACATCCTAGGCCCGGTTTGGTTTATATGATAAGATGGCTTCCTGATGAAGATTCATCTGATCATGCTGGCTTTCTTATGGAAGCACGTGATGCTGCTTGGTTGCTGCCTTTGCTCAAACATGATTCTCAACTAAATCAGCAGCCCAGACGCCTATACGATGGCAATGCCTGCAACAGTAATAAGTGCACCAACCTGTCCTCACAACCGATTCCGTGTGCCTTATCTTCGAAAAACCCATCAACTGATCCACCGCTGATATCGCTGGCCCCCGGAGACCGCGTGATTGCTCGGTTTACTGAACACACCTGGGCTCCAGGTTGGGTAGTTGGACCCCAAACTTCCAAAAGGTCCAGGCCTCAGTCTTCAAGAGAAGTCGGTGAGAATCAGTACTCTGCCGCTAATGACGGCAATCAGGAGGATTATATCGCTGATTCCGATATTCAACTAGACATTTATTTTTACAATGGACTACGGTGAGTTTTTCAATTTAAGTAGTGTTTCGAGACTCTTAACGGATATTTAATAGGGATTGTGTCCACCCTATTTCGTTGAAGATGCTGAAGTATTGGTAGTTGATTTTTTTTCACAATTATATAAGTAGTCATCAACTTTTCATTGGATTTCACATGGCCTTGCTTCCCTGAAGGTATTCTCATTCAAGCAGGACTGCAGTTTCTACTTCGCCTAAGTCTCATCAACATACCCAGCGGGACTTAAACCAGAGTAATGTAGCATATAGTCTCGCAACATCAACTACCGCGCTACATTCCTACGATTGCCCTTGGGTCACGGGGCATAAGTGAATTTTAGGAAAGGCCAGGCCTTTCTGTTATGGGATAGTCTATGCAACAAACTTTTATTTCGGGTTTAGTGGCTACTTGCATGGCTTGAATGGGAGCTGTGCTTAGCCTATTTCGTCTGAGGTTATGAGGGACTGGAAGTAGGTTCTTATTCAAGATCTACTGATAGTTTTGAAACCCTCCTTTAAAAAATTAAGTAATGTTGTCGATTGCAATAGCAAATACCACTTTGCTTCATCAACGAATCCACCACAGAAAGAGACTTGGGAAAGGCCTGACATTCTTTGGAATTCACTTTTGCCCTGCGACCCATGGACACTGGGGAAAGTGACATAATAGTTAACATGTCGAGGCTCTACGCTGTGCTAGCCGTGTTCGAGTACATTTTGAGGTGTTGATGAGTGTTAGGCGAGGTCGAAACTGAACGATAGCCTCGTTGAAAATACCTTATGCGAAGTAAAGCAATGTGAAATCTAATGGAAACATGAGGCCCACTAATGTGATTGTTGGAAAATTCAACTACCAGTCAACTTAAGTGAAATAGGGTGAACATATTTCTACGGTGAGTTTGACCAAGCCTCAGCTTTGATGTGTGTGCTGACTACTGAATGGATCGTGCCAGAAAATATACCGTTATACAGTACATTGTCCAATAGTAATCGTATTTTTCGCATTAAACTTGGTCCTAAAAGGCTTAATTATCAAATACTTCGATATCAAGGAACCAGTGCTTATATAAGTTCATTATGAATTGAAAGTGGATATCTTATAACTTTATTGAATAAAAGCATGTTTCTATTTGAAATAGTAACTATATTGTTGCCAGGTCTAAAAAATACCTCAAGCAGACACTGCTTACCGAGGATTTCCCATGCTGGAGGGAAGCAAAATCTGCGAAATATCTAGACTTTTTTGCATCAAAATGTTCCAATCTAAGCTACGCACGTTTAAACTAAACAAAATCACAGCTCAAGATCCGTGCGAATATGGGCTATTGACATCAAAACAATCTAGCCGTCTCGATCCACCTTCATATATGAGCTATGATTCTGAGCCACAATGTTCCCATGGTGCTCAAGTGACTCAGCTTGTGATCATGGTTTTGCTAGTGTTAACGATGGGACGTAACCTAGATCAAAAATATGGGTTTTCTGGATATTTTAGTACTAGGGTCAATCAGAAGGTGAAGCAAATTTCTTGATTCCATATTAAAAGTTTTAACATTTGAGCCTATTCATTGTGAGTCTACTTATGAGCTTCTTCATTTCAGGCTATGATATAATTTATCCATCAGATCCTCGTTAAAACGTTCAACGTTAAATTAATGGAGGAATCAGAAACATACCTTTTTAGTATCTGCTGCTTTTTTGCGATAATTAGCCAAGATATTTTGTAAAAATGTATTTGATGTTTCATGTTTACTTTTGAGCCTAAACTAACGCCCTTGTGCTCATGAATTTGTTGATAATTTTTATTGGATATTTCTATTATTAATTTTTTTTAAATTAATTAAAAGAGGAAAAAATATTTTTACTGCATTTATATTAGCACAGCTTCATCACCGTCATAAAAAATATATCAAATTAATTGAAAGGTAGATTTTTGTAAAGTAATGGGTAAAATACGTTACAATAAAACAGATTTAACTATTTACCCAGGTGTATAGTTCAAAAAATGGTTTTTAAGATAAACAATTCCACAATCTAATTATTGCAGCGATGTTGTGGTCGCTGTTCTGCTCAAAGTCTCCTGTCGATGTAAAGAAGTGGTCTGACCTCGTTTTCGCAACTTTGCGGTGTTGTTAGAGCGAGATATTTGGACGCACCATAGTCGCTTACATAATTCCCATCTTTTTGCCGTGGGCTTGGTACATTCCAAGACATTTCGCGGA